ATTTTACCCCGGTCTTATGTGAGGTCGGTACGGAACCCTTCGTGTGCGAGTCCGACTCGCACTTGGCCGGTTTTAATTCAACACATTGTCGATATGATGGCAAAAAGATATCAGAAAGATTGAATTACATATTATGTCGTAATAACCAGTGACTGAGGGCTGGTGAAACATTCATCTTAGAGATGCTTTAAATCAAGACATTGGCCCATCAAATATCGGTCAACGCGTAATCTGCAACGTCATATTCATTTACAGCTTCTCCGAATTATCTGCATTAAAAAACCAAAGATGCGATGATTTATGTCCGAAGCTATGGGAGACCAGACTTATTTGTCACTTTTACGTGTAACCCCGAATGTCCCGTAATTAAATCTTATCGTACGATCTTTCGATCTTCATAACGTAATTTTAAGGATATTTCATTAAAAGATTAAGAAATTCATAAAATTATTCACCACCGACGAAACATTCGGAAGGTTTTATGTATGTGTATGATAATTTTAAATTTTTTGTTAAACTTATTGTTACCCGTGCGAAGCCGGGGCGGGCCGCTAGTTTGTTATATTTATGTGATTGTAATAAATGACATTATGTTGACCGATTGTTGCGCGTTTATTTTTACCCCTCATGACCCGGCAAAACGTCGTATTCGAAGCGTCGAGAATTTAATTTTATGTGATAAATGAAATACATAGAGGTAACAGTGTCTCCATTGATAAAATTAAAACTGGTATTAAAAATAATTTATGTTACTAGTAACTCCTGAAGTTAAATTGCAGTCTCAAAATTATGTTTACTCGTTAATGACATAAAACAGAAAACCTAAGGAATTTCTCTCGCCTGTTTGTTCTCTTAGAGGAATCTCATTACGAAATGGTGGAAGACTTAAAATAATAGTTTAAAAAAGAAAGACAGAAAAGTCTTAGTATCAGGGCGGGACCCTAACGGAACCCTTAAAATAAACTAAAAAGCACGCTTTTGTAGATAACTGAACTAAAAAGTAGAAAATAATTCTTAATAAATAATTAAATTATGAATAGTGGTTCACAATTTTTTTTATTGTAGAAAAGCGCGGAGTGCTTCGAGTAAAATGTTATAATATTTTGATGGATATATACATAATGACTCATAATGGAAATATCTTAAAAACCACCGCACGCTTTTCTGCAATATTTTTTTTGTTAATCACACTATTCATAATTTAAATATATTGAATATTATTTTCTGCTTTTTAGTTCGGTTATCTACGAGTCTTTTAGTTTCTTAAAATATTATTTATTTTGTGTTTATTAGTATAAAGCTTGTCGTTTTTTATTTTTTTTATTTTTTTAAATGCGGACACAAGCACACTAGGACACTACCGGGTATCGGATTTGGAAAATAGCTTATACTGAGGGTCCTGGTCAGGATAATTTGAAAAAGTATTTAAAATATTGCATTGTCATGAGTCTGACGAGTGTGCAAAGTTTTATTCAAATCTAATCGTTCAAAGTGGGGCAAAATCAAGTTTTAAGATTCCGTTACATACAGGTAAAACTTATTAGTTTCAATTTATGTATTATTATTTATTTATATTTTTCAATATATATTATACAATATAAGCGTGTACAAAATGACTGTCGATAGGTAAAATGTAGATAGAAACATATATCAATAAATAAACGATTTGATTACACTCAATTTATAATATAAATATCCAATTAATACAAATTTAGAAAAATAATGAAGACTGTCTTAATCAAAAAGGCTCGTTGAATAATATGTTCTTGATAATTTATGTGGTCACTACGAATTTTTAGGACGAAGTTTTTCGCCGTTACGGGAATTGAACCCACGTCTAGCGAACTCGCGCCCAGATGCTGTGATCACTAAGCTGAACGGCTGATTGCCAACGATCCCACCGATTGCGCCAGAAAGTGATTTTAATCATCTTAAAATTTGAAAGTTTTGAGGCAAAAATCTAGCTAAGTAAGTTTAGCTAGTGGCCACCACCACCTGCTCCTGACTGTGATGTAACTACATTAGGAATTAAACGAGAGCTTCAATAAAGAAGTTCAAGTAATAAATTATTGAGCGTTATATTATCGAACGTAATAAAGACCAATTACTTGACAAACGTGTTGTTGTATTTCTTTAATTTATGATTAACGATAACTAATGAGCGGTTATTATCGAAGGGATAAAATAAACCGGATCGGTATATGTAACAAACGCTTTGTAATGGGCCAATAAGCGGGCAATAAAAAGGAAGCAGCCGCGGCTGAAAGAAATACAACCGGGCCTGATTTATGCGCGATAGGAATGCGCCCCTCTTTTCAATAAGATCTAGGATAAGAAACATTGCCCATCGCCGCATACCACAAGAGGTATGCCAATTAAATCGCAAAAAAAAAAAGAATTTATGTCTCAATGATTTTCTTTTACAATGATAGATATTGTCAAGATGCGAAGAGTCAACTTATGCATTTAACGTTACCAAATTAACGTTAAAATCTTAATATTGTGAATATACATTTTGATGTAGTATGATATTCTTATAAATATTAAAATCTTCAAAATATCAAGTTATTTATCCGTGTAGCGTATTACGAAATAATCAAAACACGGCTCGAAGCTTAGCGTTTGACACAAAGCAATGCATTAATCCGCTAGCTATTAGATGGCCCTTTGAAAGCTTTCATTCTCGACTGCATCCGTGTATTGAAGCCCGTTGCGATGATACAAAGGTGCTTTGCCGAATCAACGTTGATCGCAAAACTACGTTCGGGGCCAGACACGGAACGGTTGTGAATGGAACGTTTACTAGCCCGTAATGCAAACACGGGACGTCCGTTTGACTTTAGCAAACTATCGGTAACGTCCAAATTTGTTGAGAATTTAAACTGGGAATTTGAATTGGCATTTCTCTCTAAATTAATATCCGTCTCTTAGTAATGTGAACAAACATGCTAGATATGGTTTTTGTGAATCTCATTTATATCAGATGACAACAGACGTTTGTACCATTTCATTTCCCAAAATTTTGGGGAACAAGAATCAAAAAAATCTTTGAAGGTGGTTTGGCCTTTTTTTACGTTGGAAAAATCCACGGGTCTGCCACCTGATCGGGGGCAGGGCACAGGTATGTGGGAGTCCCTACGCGTATCTACTAAAAAACGTGCAATGTGGATTGCACCTGTCTCTGACGCAGCGGCCTGGGACACGGGAACACGAAAATGCAAATAAAAAACAATGTTTCCTTGCAAGAAATTATCCAAATTACGTAAAATTCTGGGGAGTATGGGTGGAGTCGGGGACATTTCAATCGTAGTTCCTCTAATTTAGCTCTAATTTTACGGTGGTATCTGCTATGGACATCTGCTACAACCGAGGATTGCAGATGCGTTGACAACCTTTTGAAAATTGGGCTCCGGTCACCTCACTCACCAGACAAAACGCGAAAGCATTATACTTCCACTTTTAGCTGGTCTTCTGTGAGGTCGTGGTACCCACCCGGACGGGCCTGCCCATTCGTGCAACAGCCGAGGCTGCTGCGTAGCCCTACCACCGTAAAACATATTGTTATACATAAAAAAATATTGTTTCAATAGAACAAATACTTGTATGGGGAAAACAAAACACGTAATAATTTCAAGAATTTACCTACTACTAATTATTCCCTATATATTTAGTTTTTTATATGTTTGCTGAAGGATTATTTTTTGCGCGAAGATTAATGAATCATATATTCCATAATTTGGACCTACAGAATACTTAATTAAATTAACCACGCTAAACAAAGTTCGTATTAAAGAGAATTTTTTAAGCCATTTATTTTTAAAAACATATTTTATAACGAATTTCCTAAGGTGTATCATTACACCTTAGCAACACTGAGTTAAATAAATAAAAGTTTAATGAATGATTTTTAATTATTATTAGCTCTTAAAAACGTCCGGTTTAACTTAATATTTGACTACATTAAGGTAAACTAGGATGCTCACTTTAAGATAATAAAAAAAAACATAAAATAATAACTAGATAACAGGCTATTAAGGCCGTTTTAAAGATGTTTGTCAAGAGTTCGCGAATTCCGTGACCTAATATATTTTATCAGTAAGTTGTCTACTAATTTTAAAATAGTACAGGGGCAGAAATTTAAATTTCATTCCTGTATAAAATTTATCTTATGGCATCAATTAAAAGTAACAATATTTATTCAAATAAATTTTGTATTTTTCTAGCCTGAGACTTTGAGTAATAACAGGACTTGTCGAGACGCCATAATATTGAAATCAGAAATGTTTATAACAAAAAAATATTTAGGTATAAATAACTCGTGCAAAAAGTTATGTCTCACTAAAACACACATCCTACTTAAATTCATTCATGAAGATAAATAGTTGTACGTAAAATTTATTATTTTTTCGAAATTTTTTAAATACATCTTTTTTAAAGATCGACAAGTAGTTTGCTGTAACATATTTGTGTTAAAATAGTAATAGCGTAAAATTTACTTAGGAAAGAGATTTTATGAAAATATTTACTAATAAAAATATATATTTATTTTCACGATCATCGAAATAGCATGGTAAAAGTAAATAATTATGATCAATTTTCAATAAATTATCTTTTATATTTTTATCTATATTTACAAATAATCTCCGTTTGTCTCATGTTTTTAAATATGAAATAATTGGGAACGGGCAGTAAGAATTCTACTCTATTATTTAACAAGGAGTGTAAAGTAAACATGATTCATTCTTATTGAAAATTGGATTTTCTTAATTTTTTGATTCGTATACTAAAAGTTATTCATGTAAAATAATTATAGACAAAAGTACAGTACTATTACTAAATGGCTTATTAAAATTGAATATTTTCTTATCAAATTTTATACAGTGACCGAGTATTGTATATTTTTTATTTCTGAAAACGTTTCTATCATTATACATTCAGGTAAAAACTTTCCTAAATAATTCGCTTTGCATTATCCAACATGAATATAATGAAACTGTTACCATTTATTCACAAATTAATTAAATCGGTCCCTGCCGTGATTAAGCTCGGTTCTAGCATCTTCCAAAACCTGAAAATAATGCGCAGTTAAATATCTATATTTGTAAAGTTTGATATATTTTCTTACCACTTTATTTCCTTTTTGTCAGCGATTAAATTTCTAAATTTGAAATTCAAAACTACGGCTTTCGAAATAATAATGTTTTTAGTATACTTTCGTAAGTTTTAAAATTTTATATTTTGTGTTAGTCCTTATTTAAAAATACATGATTAAAACCTTTTTTTACATGTGTTTAGAAAAATAAAAAATGCATGAGTATTTTTGTTCATTAATTTATTCATATTGGCGTTATAAAATTACTTTTATTTTTAAAAACTTAAAAAAAATTTCATACCTCTTGTGCAATATTAATTCAAGTATTTCGTTTTAAGGATCTTATCTCTTCATTTATTTGTAACAAATACAAAAACATTTAAAATAAAAAAAAAATCTGTAATTTTCCCGTGGGTTTCCATTCTTTTTCACGGACAAAAATGGCAAATACTAGTTTTCCTTCGCCTAACGGAAAGGTATTGTTTAAATCGTACGGGACGGGTCGGTTGAACGTTTTAATTGACACGACGGGTCCCTTCGGGATCGATAATAAACTCACCCGATATCCGGTGGCAAAATACGGGGAAAAGTACGCGGCGTACGCGGCGGGCCAAGAAGCGAGCTGTCGCTTTTCGCGGCGGACAGAGAGCGACTGGAGGCCTGAGCGCGATCTACACGCGCTGGGCGGACGCGCGGCAGACACGCCCATCGGTGACGCGGGAAAAATCTTCAAACATACATCCGCAACTCTTTTCCCACTTCGCTATATTTCTATGTAATGCCTCTCATCTCCATACGTTCGCCAGCGTCGCCGCGCGGGTAACACTCCTTTCGAATATCAATGGATACTTGTTTAGATTATTTTTTTATTGATAACTATATTGATACGCTCCTCAAAGCACTTATCAGACAAGTATTTGGCATGTTATTTGTTACATTTTGTTGTTAATCATGAACACTTGAAGGAATAATGTTTTCGCGTCTACCACCGTGTTAAATTGTAAGAGTGTGATGGAAAATTTTGCACAGAACAAAAAGGGCGGAGCGGGGATCACTCCCAGCTGAATATAATTATTTGAATACAAATTGATCCACCGCGTGATTTGCGTTTTCTTTTTTGCTGCAGCAACTTTCTCCATAAAAATAAATTCAAAGTGGAAAAACTAAACTTTTATTTTATTTGTAATTTATATTGATGGTCCTAACTTTAACTTATTTACATTTTTCTTAAATAATTGCAAGGAAACGCAAGTGCCATCCCCAGCAAACTGTAAACAGACACACGTGTTATTCCATGTGCTACTCTGTATTATTAACATATGCTTTCACCATATTACTTTCTCTGCATGAAGTACAGTTTTTGTATAATGTTATAAACTTGAAAAGAGTTTATCCATAGAGTTAAAACAGCCTCAACCTATAAACGAATACCTTAGTTTTTTATAGCCCACAATAAGCGTAACACATTTGGTAGGTGGTAGGGCTTACGGTGGTAGGGCCATGCAACACAGTTGCACGAATGGGCAGGTCCGTCCGGATAAGTACCAAGAACAGAGTAAAGTAGAAGTGTTACACTTCTGCGTTTCGTCTGGTGAGTGAGGTGCCTTAGCCCACTTTATTTAAAAGTGCATTAGGCAACGCATCTACAACCCTTGGGTGTAGCAGATGTCCATGGGCGCCGGTATTCACTTAACATCAGGTGAACCGTCTGCTCGTTTGGCAACTTTCACATTAAAAAAAAAAATTGCAACCCTACGGGTGTTGTTAGTGTCCATGGGCGGCGGTTATCACTTACCATCAACCGCCAGCTCGTTTGTCACTTTCTTATATAAAAAAGTTATAATTTTTACAGTGCGTGCTTGTGAAAATGAAACTACCCAAATAAACGTATTTTATAATAAATAATCAAAAAGATTTATTGGCTACGGAAAAGGTTACGCCACCGCTACGAGACACCAATAAAATTGTCTACAGACGTAAATTCTCTTATTATAACATAGAATATGAGTAAAATAATTCATTCAACCACCTTCACCTATTAGACACCTAGAATATAACCAGATTTTTCATGAATTTAATGATTTGAAAACGAAATTAAATCAAATTCATTTGAGGATGCTTTGATTAATATTGATACTGTATTCAATTGTTAATGCATAATAGCTTGGTTTATTGACAAGGGCATAAGGCGAACCGGAGGTATAATAAATGTATAATAAGCTTGAGTATTTTAATGACATAAACATATGAAAAACGGAATAATCTACGTAACACAAAATATTATCTACATTGCATACAATACAAGGAAGTTGTATTCATTAAAATAGAGTTGTGTGTTTAGTAAAGATTTTGTTTCACAACTTTGTCATGGAAGACAAAGACATATCCATGGTTGAGTAAAATGGCCCTACTAATCTGTGTCCTCGCAATAACGTAATCATTTATGGACGCGCCGCTAAGGGCGAGCGATAAAAATGAGAAATTATTTTTAATAATACTGCCGGTGCGGGGGAGCGCGGGTGACAGCAGACAATATTTTGGTAACGTTAATACCAACCCCTATTACCGCGAATTCTTCACAAGAAACTAGCGGGTTATAATAATAAGACCCCACAGCGCATTTTATGACCTTGCGGTAAGTTTATGTTGCGATAAGCCGTAGACTTACCAATGATACGCTGTTATAAAGGTTACTTACTTTTAATTAATCATGTTTTAAGATTGTTCTAATAATTATTAATCTCTCATTATAACTGCTTGTTATAGTGTGTAAAAGCATTTCCAATTCTTCGTTATATTATGAATATCCATAGATACATATGTATGCTTCTTAAGCAATGCAATTAATTAGTGGTGTCAGAAGCTTTAACTTAATAGCGCAGCAACTGATTTAGGAACATTAGAAGGACAAAGCAGAAGGGCTATCGAGTTAATGCATACCGCAACAGACGTTGCGGCGCCGTTAATTGCGAGCGATTTGGTCGTAAGTAGCCGATAATTATTGCGGCCCAGTAACTTGAATCGGGCTGCGGTGAGCGGAGTGTTCGCGGTCGGGTGTCATGCCGGCGTAGACTTGTCCCCGGCGAGAACGTTCCCCGGGGGAGGACAAAAAGGTAAGCCGCTGACGAGGCCCGGAATGCGATGTGATTATGAAACGCCATTTGTCAAGTTTTTATTGGGCGCCCTAGAGCAGCGGGCTTTGTTGTCGCCCCCGGCCGCGCCCCGACCCTCGGCGCTGCGACGTTAATTCATAATTTTTATAACTTGTTAACATTTCACGGATTATTTGCGACGGACGGCGGTTTGGCGTTTAATTAAATTCTATCTCGTCTTGTGCGCCTTAATCACTTCGTCCCAGAGTGGCCAAAGAAATCGTTGCGTAAAGATACCAATGTAATGATGATGATGATGATTAAGCCGTATTCTAATTAAATCGAATAACTTCTTATTCCCGTTTTAACTTTGTGCAAATTTCAATTTAATTTCCTTTGAAATATTTTTAATATATAGATTGAAGAGAATTGCAATACGCCCGTCGTCTTGTTTATATATATGAAAACCTAAGTGAGGCTCCGATGTCGTAAAAACAGCGATATGAAAAATCGGTTCAATTTCCTTGGTGGTTAATTAGGCAAATTTTAAGCGTGGACTTGAGTGCATCCAATTTGATCCTTGTCCCTGTCAACCTACGCCGTCGACGTATGATATAAATGGGAAAGTGGGTAATCTCATCTGGGAAATTGACTTTTTAGGTGTTCACGCGCAAACCGAAACGTCATCGGCGCGGGCGCTGGAAAAAACGATCTCCACTTTTTTTTCCTACAACACCTAAAGGCTAAGGTACGCACTACTGTTTAGTCCAATTTTTTATCATTTTAAAAGATCATAATACATATTATACAGTCCACTACGTCTTTTATTCTGAGCTAAGGAGATTGCCGACACAATAGCCATGCCGTATTAACGGTCGCATAACTGTATAGTGAACGAAATTGAATTATTTACGGTTTCCGTTCGTTTGTTACAGAACTGTGACTATAAATGTAAGCAAGGGAAATCACTGTTCCCCAGAATGAAAACATCAAAACAGATTAACCGGCCCAAAAACAACGCGGAGGAAATTTTTTCGCCTAACATTAGCTTTGGCAAGAGCCGTGATAGCTCGGTGCCCAGGCGCTCGCCTTTAATTCAATATACTCGGGAAATCTGAGTTCGATCCCCGGTTACGGCACCAATGAAATATTTTTAAGTGCTAACTTATCACGTGCTAAGTGGTGAAGTGTTTTACTTCATCACTGAGTACGTGAAAAGTTAGTTTTCGTGAGGAGACCTGCATATTTTTGAAATAAAAAAGTCTTCATTCTGCCATATTGAATAAATTATGTTTGAATTTAAATTTCTGACTGGATTATAAAATTCAGTTTCATTTTGATTTCGAATACAAACGTGTATTATTATCACATATAACAAGGACTCGTGATAGTCATTCATCAAATTCATTCTGTTAAGGTAATACAATAAAGCTAAATAGGATGACTAGTACTCCACTCTAATTATATTAAATAAGAGAATAGCGTGTGTGCTGATTATACTTAGGTAGCTTTGATCGTGTACATATCTAAATAGCACGTGTTATTGATGCAGCGTCCTCCAGGCCCATTGATCGGAGCATAAGCGGGAGGCGCGCTTGTCGCGATGCAATATTAAATGTAACGGGGGCACGTGAAAATGGTATCTAAAGCCAGAGCAGCGAGTACGAGTTCCGGCGGTGAAGCCATATTTCCCGCTCGAACGGTCAAAGCGCCACTGCCGACGGGCAACACTTTAATTTTAAGCGCCCTCCGATATTAGGAGCTAGGCGAGTCGTCGCCATTCACAAAAGCGGATAAACCGTGATATGAACGTAACCGGTTTAAATTAATTCGGTAGGTTGAAATTAATGAGATCTTTTATACTTTCGTTAGTTTCTGGAAATATTAATCTATTCGAAACTGTTCCCTTTTTATGTCTTAAAAGAACAAAATTTATAACGTGCATCTGAATTTCAAAATATTCATCAACAGGGATTTTTTGCTGTTAAGGTATTTCGTTGCGAACAAATTTTAACGATTCGCTCCTTGATTTTATAGGGCCGAAGATTTCACATATTATTTAGTCCGTTTCCGGGTATACAGATAGCTTCATGTTTACCATTTTCGAGCCTATTCAGACTTAATCGTGACAGGTGGTGTCGTATAATGGAAACAGCCACTAGTCACAATAAAACTACGAAATCCTAATAAGACTACGGCTTTCTTTTCCAGCAGTGTTTTTTACATTTTGGCACAAAAACCATTTATACTTTACAAATAAAAAGGGTCAATATAACCTTATGTTTTCAATTAATGGATGGAGCTTTTTTGGATTTTTGAACTAAGCGTCATTGCTCGATGCAGGCGCTTGTTTCAAAAATTATATAAAATTAAATATTAATAAAAAAATCTAAGTTTTGATTGTGTTACATTTCGTTGTTACGCAGTTCATTGTTGATTTATACGGCGGCATATATAATTGGATTAATATTGTATGTTTTTAAACTTGTACTGAGTATATTTTCGTAACTTGTGCTTAGAAGACGGAACATTTTCATTGAGGTTTAACGAAATGTCATAAAATACAAATTTTAATTAATCTGCTTGTTTCGCTGACTGTACTATGGCCCCGCCGCAATTTAGCTCGAAGCAATCAAACGTCTGTACTCAAATCGAGCGACAGATCAATTTGAATAATCTGCAGGTCAGTGTAGTTAATTGTCGAAATTCCTATTACACAAATTGTCAATCGCATGGCATGTCAATAACTGTATAGATGTTTAGAACGTGCTACTAAATCATACATATAATCTGTAAAACGTCTCACGCACATCTTGGACATCTCCATCGTGATAGCGTTGTGTTATTTGCTATCACCTATTAGAGCACAGATTGAGCTGGCGGTTCACCTGATGTTAAGTGATATCCGCCGCCCATGGACATTTGCAACACCCGTTGCAATGCGTTGCCACATTTCAATAAAGTGGGCTCCGGCTGCGTCATTCACCAAACGAAACGCAAAAGTCTAACGCTTCTACTTCGCACCGGTCTTCTGTGAGGTCTTGGTACTAACCCAGATGGACCTGCATATTAGTGCAATAGCTAAAACTGTTGCGTGGCCCTACCACAGTTAAATATTATAGATATAAAAAAGAAAGGAAAAGGCCGGAAATGTTAAAACGTTTTAATATATTTTAATGATTATCAATTAATTTACATTAACACATATTGAAAATATAGATTAAAATTCGACCTTGTGATCAAAGAACTTATGTCTAGTAGTCTAGTTCACATGCACACAATATATGGGAGGTGTATGTATTAAAATAACTTCGGCCGTCTAATATTTCCATTTATGCTTGGAATTATCCCTATCAATTGCCGTTTAATCTGATGAGATCTTTACTAGTATTATAAAGGCGAAAGTTTGTATGTATAGATGGATGTTTATTACTCTTTCACGCAAATACTACTGAAAGGATTTTAACGAAACTACAATAATATAGCTTATATTTACATCAGAATAAAACATAGGCTATAATTTATATTTATATATATATATATATATATATATATATATATTTATGCATATCTGTCTTTCTGTCTGAATATTTCGCCTTCAGCCTATTCTATGCAGACGTAGTCGTGGGCAGCAGCTAGTAATACAATAAATTTTCTGTATCACTTGCCAGTTTAACTTTCACTTGTTTTAGCACGGATAAAATCTTTGGTTTATAATCAACATATCAATTACAATATTAAATAAAACCGTTTAAAAACTTTTAAGTTAAACGGTTTTATTTTATGTCTTTTTTTTTTGTTAATATTGTATTGTCATCTAAATTAAATGTGTGTACCAAATTTCAGATCAATCGGATCAAGGTAAATTTCATTCTAAATTAAATGTGTGTACCAAATTTCAGATCAATCGGCAAGGTGCTTAAATTTCAATTTCTAATTTTGACCCAAACAAACAAATCCCGTACGGGTCGAGCTAAATAAAACCGTTTAAAAAATACCATTCTATATTTCCACAAAGGAAATAAAAAGATGTTTATTAAACAAACTATCTTGTTATAAAAGAAGTGACGAAAATCTTAGAGGAAAGACATAAAACAATTTTTATGCAGTGAAGGCTTTTTCATTATATTACAGTGTTGTTTGTAGTGACCAATAAATTGAGAAAAAATAGAATCTACGAAGTACATTAAAATAATAAATGCATATCCCATTTGCGTTTACTTTTTGGTGTATTATTGTTGCAATAATTAAAATCTGTTGGTTTGTAGGAAATAAAAGATTGAAATTGTCACATAAATTTTAATGAACAATAAACATGTAAACAAAACAGGTCAATAAATATCTATCTCAGATGCACTATTACAATAGTATTATCTCGAGGCAAGTAGCAATCATATTATTTACATTTTTCATTGGCATCACGAGGTTTTCATCTAATTAAGAAGGCTGTATTACTTATTTAGTTACACACATCACTTACCAAACCGCTGCTCGGCGAATGAAATATAATTTATTGATATTTTCATTTCGCAATTGAAACAGACGCGCGCGCGTCTTTCTAATTACAACTATATTAAAGTACACAAACAAATAGAAGTATACACAAGGACCTATTTTATAACTTTCGATTCGCCTAGCACACACGTGAGTGGCGATCTTTATCGCAGAGCCCGGCGCGTCTTACACGTGCGTTTTGCGCCGCTTGGCCGGCGGGTCGTCGCTGTCGAGGATGATTGTGCAGATGACGTCACCGATGCATTTCACGTAGGCGAGGGGGGCGCGCGTCAGTTCGGCGAGCCGCGCCGCCGGCTCCGGCTCCGGCAGGTGGAGGACCCTCGCGACGGCCACCACGGCGCCGGCCGCCAGGTGCAGCGTGCACACGCGGCTCCTCTCTACGTCCGCCACTTCGCACAGCTATTACTCAACACTAACGCGCGGCCATTCGCACCCGTGTGCGTGTTTTGTGTGTTCTTTTTTATGCGAGGCGGTGGCAAGCGAGCTGGCGGGTAGCCTGATGCTAAGTGACAACCGCCGCCCACGCATAGGGTTGCAGATGCGTTGCCTTCTTATAGTAAAGTGGGCCCCGACTACCTCACCCACCAGACGAAACGCATAAGCTCTTCCACTTTACGTCGGTCTTCGGTGAGGTCGTGGTACTTACGCAAATGGACCTGCCCATTCGTGAAACAGTGAAAACTGTTGCTGTTACGTCCCGGCAGCTATGTACCGACGTATAGTCTTGATATGAAATTCGCCTATGCGACAAAAATCCCCATGGGCGAACCAACGACGTAGTTGACAGTATTCGTTGGATTGCCACCGCATATACACTTTGATAAATGCAAAGAATACGTATTAACGAATACGAATGACCATACGAGAGAGGGTTGAGACCGATGAGAAATAAGGACTAAACACGACAATATCACAATAATATACAGTTATTATAAAATTACAAATAAAATTGATGAAAAATATTATGGCAATAAATATAAGAACAAATCATAAAAACACTTGCAAAAAAAGTTATTACAGCAAAAGAAATAAGTAATAAAAATAAATGAAATAAAATCAAAATTTTTTTTAGATATTCATTTCTAAAAATAAAATTTTTAGAATTAAATATCTAAAAATGTAAAAATTTCCATAATATTATAATTGGATACAAATGCTCAATTATATGTTACGTTTTATTTATAATAAATGTATATATTATTTTTAAGGTGAAAATTTGGGAAAGCCGTACAGGCGGTTCACCAGATGTTAAGTGATTATAGTTTCTTACCAAACGAGAAGTGAAATTATAATAATTTAACTACTTCGTTCTTTTGTGTTCGGTGTTCATTCGTGCAACAATAGAACCAATAGAAGTTCCCTACCACAGTTAAACGAATCTTGAAATAATAAACTTGAAAAAAATGTAATATAGTTTGAATCTAATCTAATATATAAAATTCTCGCGTTACGGTGTTTGTAATTGAACTCCTCCGAAACGGCTCGACCAATTTTCGTGAAATTTTGTGTGCATATCGGCCAGCGTGGAGAATCGGACAAAATTTATTTTTTATTCCCTCTAAATGTTAAGGGTGGGCCACCCCTAACATTTTTTTCTACCCTACAAATAATTTATATGGCAAAACAACGTTTGTCGGGACTGCTTGTATACTATAAATAAAGAAATATTCCAAACTAGCCAATGCTTGTACTAGATTACTGATAAACATACTAAAACACACTTTTCTTTTGTAAATAAATAGTTATTATACATATATAAACACCCAGACACTGGAAAAACACTATGTTCTTCTCGAAATATTTTTACAGTAGTGGGGATCGAACCCACACCCCCCGACGCAGGAGGCAGGTACGTTACCCACTACGCTATTCAGGTTGTCAAAAAATGTGATGAATTACTTAATATTTTAGATATACAGATAAAGAATAAAGTAAAATGTTATAAGGTACAATTTATTATTATTAGAAAACAGGGGAGAGTTAAATAAAAAGATAATGTAGCTAAAAAGACCATAATGTCCGAAATTACGAGTAAATGCAATCTCACAATGTAAAAATGGGTGAGCCACGTTAAATTGGTTTTCATGGAACTAAAACGTACGTATATCTTCTTGCAATTTGCACGTCATTATTTAAGTGTAAAAGAGTGTTGACTGTCTGCATCGTATTGTTTTGCCAAGACATTTCGAATCGTTTTGGATAGAAATATGAATGTACTGTGTGTGTAAGCGCAAATTGGACAAGCGACTCAACAATGCAACACTGAACACTTACTGTTCTCAAAGGTTGACAATTTCACGGTGTCACGTACTTTTTGCTCGATGAATTCGCGCTTAAACTCTGCCAGGTCGACCGTGGCGGCCACTGCGGTGAAGTTCTCCGAAGTTATGCCCACCTCCAGGGCGAGCAGTTGCGCCGTTTCCACATTAGTCCAGAGCGGAATCTTGAATTCTGGACAATCGCGATGGCAAACGGTTGGACGCCCAATCTTGGCTAGGCTTTGCGTATTAAATGGCTCGTGAGGACATTCCCTATGCTCTAAGCTAAAATTGTATTGCAAAAGCTCACTGGTTAAATCAATGTCACTATAAAAAAATAAGTATAAATAGCACGAGAACGCGTCCGCTAAACAGACATAAATCTGGTCACTTAAAGTCATCGTCGTAAGGAAAATAAATAGTAAATGTTACTTAAGACTTCCAATGTAATATTATAAAACGACATTTATGTATGTTTTTCAGTGAACATACTGTTAAATGGTGTAATTATTATTTTATGCCATCTATATACGCCCGTCTACAAAAAATATTTTGCGTCTATAAATATATAATATTTAGTGTAGCGGTGTAGAGGTGTACAGGTAAATTGTACTTTGTGACATAGATACGTCAATAAAATTACAATTCAAGAAATGTACTCGACAATTCACTTAAAATACATTAATAAATTAATAAGGGTTTTATATGCAAATTAATTTATCAGATAATTAACTTATGATGAAAAAAAAATGTACTTTCATTTCGATATCCGTATATTATGGCCCGTTCCAAAACAAAGGCGACTGCAGGATCACGGATTGATCCCCTCCGACCGGTCTCCCGTCTTGACGTGGCAGAGGGGCTTAGTAGCTGTGGCTTGGTCACCGACAGCGAAGTTAAGAGGAATGCACACTGCCGGAGGCCCTCTCAGTCAGCTCCGAGTGTTGAATTGTGCAGGGGACAGGTTGAGGGTGGTGGAGGAGGAGCCACTCTCCCTGTATTCTGCTACCGAGGAGGAGTCGCGGGGGAATAGGAGTGTCGGTATTGCGTTTGGCCGCTCTCCCAATTCTCCGCAACTCGGTGGGGCTGCACCGCTGATGCAGTGATGGTGGAGCCGCAGAGGGAGAGGAGTGTCGGTATTGCGATGCGCTGTTCTCCCTACCCTCTGCGGCCGAAACGTGATGAGCGGCGGAGCCACAGACCAGCTCCGTCGCTGGGGGCTGGGGGGCTCGCTGCCTATTGCCACTCTCCTGGCTCCCATAGCCCCGGTCAGCGAACTCAGGGAGTTCGTTGGCCGAGGAAATGGAGCCGAGTAGGAAGGCGCGGTGGAACGTTCAGCAATACCTGGTGAGAGGGGTTACTCCCCGGGAGGGGGCTGCTGAATCGGCCAGCGCTGGCAGGGTCGCGGAAGTGTGCGAAAGCGTTCCCGTGGCCCTGCTGATATGCGCCTAGGTGGAACATCGTGTGGGTCCGACATAACCCGCTCTAGCCCCCGCGAGGGCGGGTGTGCGTAGGCATATCCCCATGTAAACAAAAAAACAGGACTACGGATTGATATTTACGAGTAAAGGACTAGTTAATCACCCAGAGTGCTGTACACCTCGAATTCTGTCGCGTTTATCTCGTCGACCGTGAAGTTGACACCTGCGCCGATCAGCTTGGACCTGATGATTGTGGCGTTAACCTTTGCACCGGAGTGACACATTTTGGCGGCGAGCTGGACGCACGTGGCTATCAGGAGCGGCACCCTCTTCATCAAACTCGCCCTGTACGCCACCCAGTCCTCGCCTGTTTTGGGCAGATACTCGGTTCATCCGTTAGTCTATTATTTAATTTGTAAGCGAATAGTCGCCTATTATAATAATATAACGCACTGTTCTCTTCAGCTGGCAAGTGACCATGTAGTAGGAAGCGATAAAAGCTATAGTCCGATATTTCAATTCAGAGCGATATTTGGAAAATACATGGGATGGAAAAAAATTGCTGTATTACTTTTTACTCACATGTCTTCGCTCCATGGATACTAAATATATGAAAGATACAAACATGATCAATTATTACAGCAATTGTTAGAAAAATCACATTTAAAAATTATTCCACATTCAAGTTTTCTTTTCCTTTCTAATAAGAATTGCCTTACCAGAAAGCAATAAAAACGATGTTAAACACTAACTAAGCATTCACCCAAAATATCAGGAAATATTTGGAAAATATTATTTCTACGGAAGAATTATATATACCTTTATACTTTATTTACCCAATTCTTCCGTAGGTACGTGTATATGTCACGAAACTACAACTAAACTGCTGGACCGATTTTAATGAAATTTTGTGTGTGTCTTCAGGCGAGAATGGTTTAGATTCATGATTCAGTCCACATTTACTTTTAATTTTTTATTTATAAGTTGATTTTGGATTTCAGCCGAGTTTACAGAACAACGTCTATTGTGTCCTCTAGTACAATTTAGAAAATATGTGAATGAAACACGAATAAACAAAAGACATAACACCTCACCGCTAAATACATTCAAAAGGGTGGACATCCAACGAGGAACACTCAGACTCACGGTTAAGGCACATGTAGTTTTGGGCGATCACAATGGACAGGTAACGCTCTAGAATTCGACAAGCCTGTCCCGGCAGCTCATGGTTCTTAAAGCCGAGCTGGGCGCACAAATTCCATACGGCGACACGGCTCTCCCCCTTTATCAATATGACGGGATGTATCCGATGTTGAATTGCTGAAACCATAACAAAAACTATTGTAATAAATTATTATCAAGATCATGAGAAGCACGGCTATACTGCCGTGATTGCTCGTATATACTCGAGCAATCTGAGTCCCATCCTTAGTGCCAGCACTAATGAAATTGATAATTTTAAGTGCTGACTATCACATGCTCAGCGGTGAAGGAACATCGTGAGGAAACCTGCACATTTTACCTTTTTTTAATTTTACCTTCGAAGATATGTGAAGTTAGCCAATTCACAGCGGTGCCGCGGGGTGGAGAATGCGCTAATACTTTCTGTATGGTGGAGACCTTTGCCTAGCAGGTGGACACATATAGCCTGTTATTTTACTTTACTTTAATATACCATGACTAGTTCAAGTTTTTCTTTCCATGAAATCAAAATCAAAATCAAAATCAAATGTATTTATTCAACATAGGAGCATTACACTCACTTATTGATAGTCAAAACACTACCACCGGTTCGGAAAAGAAAGCCACTGTACTGAGAAGAACCGGCGAAAGAAACTCAGCGGGCTTTTTTTTTTTTAAATAAGCAGTTTGACATAAATTCGTTAAAATACAATATAAGAACTCCAATTGAAAGAGCCTGGAGCGATCAGTTCATTACCAGAGTGTGTTATCATTTAAATAATCATTAATATTATAGTAGCCTTTAACACACAAACGTTCTTTTACTATTTTTTAAAATTTAGCTATTGATGCATTTTGAACGTTTTCTGGAATTTTGTTGTAATAACATAAAAGATTTACTTATTTTACGGAGTCTACTTGTGGGTAGGATCAATTTATTTTTGTTCCTAGTATTTATATCATGAACATTATAATGTCTTAAAAATTTATCCTTATTTTTATGGACATACAAAACATTTTCAAAAATGTATTGAGCAGCAACAGTCAATACCTTTATCTCTTTAAACAAGTTTCTTAAAGATTCTTTGGGGCCCAGATTGTAAACTGCACGAATAGCTCTCTTTTGTAAGATAAAGATTGTATTAATGTCGGCCGCGTTACCCCAAAGCAGAATGCCATAAGACATTATACTGTGAAAATAACTAAAATATACCAAGAGAGCCTTTTAGTGAGAGATTTTTTTGACCGCGAAAGCTGCTGCGCTAAGTCTACTCGCCAGTCTATTAATATGGGGGCCCCATTGCAGTTTGGCATCAATAGTTATGCCAAGGAATACAGTTAAGTCAATAGGGTCCAACGCTTCCCCATATAAAAGTACATCAATTTTTACATGTTTAACATTGGAGGAAGTTGTAAATTTAATACATTTAGTTTTTTTATTATTCAACAGTAAATTGTTAGCACTAAACCAATGTACTACAGTAGATAGAGTATTGTTTACATCGTACAGAGCAATCCATTCTAGGATCTTGAATCATCAAAATACTTCGAACTAAGTATATACGCATACTAACCGACGGAAAATTCACAAAAATTAATGATTAAAAAAATAACGTTTCGAAAAATCAAAATATATAAATATCAAAAATTATAAATGAAATACACCTAAGGGTAAAACCAAATGATTGAAGAAAAATATATCTAATAATCTTTAATATGCTGATTCGAAATTACTTTCGAGCCCTAAATGGTGAACAGTAATTACAATACCAAAATATACTAGTTTTGTTAAACTAAATAAACATATGTTCATTTCTTTATAGCTTATTTCTATTTGCTAGTATCCTATTTCTACAGATTTGTACTACACATTTTCATATCAAAAATATTTAAAAGTTGTTTTTATTAAAATTCGTAGTTTACCTTCTTCCTGACAATCTTCTAATAATCTTTCCAACCAATCAGGCAAAAGATGCTCGGTGGCCACGCTTGAAGAGTGTTCCATTTTCATCGGCGATTGAGAAATGCCAAAGCGGCTATAGATAAAATATAAAATTAGATCACATATTAGCTCAGGGTAAAAACATTTTTACTTAACTTATTACAGTCGATAACAATGAGGGTACTTCGTTTCATTACTTGAACTAAAAGTTGTTATAGATTTTAATTTTAATATTATGGAATATTTTAAACAAATATTAAACAGTAAGAGAATTCTTTTTTTGTTTTAAAAACGTTACAGAAGTGGCATCCACCTCCATCGATAAATATGTCAATGTGATTTCAGCTGTCAGTCGATTGCATCTGTCAATTTTTTTTTATAACCTGAAGGCTCTTACTGGCCACACATTTTATTATTTACAAAACAAAAAGACTAGTCAATTATAATAGATTAAAACTTTTTTGATTTATAACCGTAATAAAATTAAAAAAAACATTGTCTAAATAATTCCATCATAAATATTTCATGTTATTTTTCAATTAATCATTGTGATTGAGATGATTTTGAAACAACCTTCCGTTAGTAAAATTATACATAACAGAAAGGAAACTCACTTAGAGGTACCTGATAAAGTTTAGGACCTGTAAAACTTAACGACTAATTAAAACAATTTTTCGTTGATCTATGCATGATATTAAGATATATTTATTTATTGAATTTTTTTATTAACATCGTGGTAGGGCCACGCAACAGCGTTCACTTTTGCGCTAATTGACTCGTCCGTCCAGGTAAGTATGACGACCACACAGAAGACCGGAATCAAGTAGAAGAGTTATACTTCTGCGTTTCGTCTGGTGAGTGAGATAGTCGGGGTACACTTTATTAAATAGTATTACAAATGTCTATGGGTGGCGGTTATCACTTAACATCAGATGCCACCAGCTCGTTTGCCAGTTTCCGAAATAAAAACAAAATATCACATTTAATAACCTAACAGCGAACTTGGTCTTTCACTCATTTCCCTTTGATACTTGTATTGTAAAATGTAAAATGTATTGGTAAATTTAAATCTGATATTTTTATGTAAATATTTACTACAATATGAACATTTAGACAACATTTTTAGCGCTTGGTGAGTAGATTTGCTCTGGCCTTCTTATTAATTATTGGACCTTACTTATTTGAAAACTAATTAAGGTAAGATTTTTTTATAAAGTTAAGTAAAGTAAACTAGTATTAAATTATTCATGTTACAATGTAAAAGTTAGAGATATTAGATACAAAAGTCACGAACACTTGACAATTCTGGTATTTAATCAGGTAACGTTGCTTAACCCGATGACTCCTTAGAAACATGGTTACCACCATGGTTGTCCTTTTCGATTTACTTCGTGTCTTTTTGAATGTCTCCAATTAACTGAAAATAATTTATTTTAATAGAATAGAGTATATTTAATATGTTATTCACGTATTATTAGAGATAAAATCGATGTAAATTATTCATATTTTTTTCTTTACATGAAATAAATATATGTTTATTATTTACTTTAAATCCATATTTAGTAATTTCATATCCTGTTCATTAGTCATTACAATCAATTAAATGTAGTGAATTGAACAGTGAGGTAATCGTCGTAAGCAGTTAGCTTTCTTTTCATTATTATTCTTTACATTGTTATGAATCTTTTACATTTACGATTATGTTAGTAATAGCATAGACAATAAGAGTGTACTAGAAAATTTAAAAAAATGTTTCACAAAAGCGTGAGTAGGCCTTGTCATGACCGTTGTAATCATTTAGTGGTAATAATTACATATTTAACGTCTGCATGGGCCTCATTTGGCTGACTTTGAGATAAGTAAAATATAAATAAGTCACATAAATTTAAATATGGGATATTAATGTTTTTTATATTAATATGGCATGTACATTTAAATATGATTTTCCGATTTTTTAAATCCAACCCGTAAGATTGATTTAATTTGTAGAAAAAGCTTGCAAATTGTTTTTATTTAATGTGTATTTCTACTCACAACTCAAATGGTTAATATTTAGCTAAATAAAGAAACCAATCCGTTTTTCTTAATTCAAATTGCGTTTTATATATTAACGGACTACTTATTATAATAATGATACTGTTCGTCCATTATTAACGGATTTTTTTTTGTATAATTTGTTTTTACATAAGACAAAACATGAATAATCTTAAAATATTGGAAAGTCAGTAGAGTCCGTCGCACAACATTTAAAAAAGATAAATAAATATCGTTCTTTTAAAATAGGTACTAATCAATTTTAGTACAATATTAAGGTAACACGGTTTCTCTGTCGTGAATTTTTATTGATAAACGATTAACTTTTATGTCCAACGCCGTAAAGTAAGATCCAGATGTTATTACAATTATAAAAATATATCCCATCTGTTTCGATATCAAATCTGTGAACATAGAATACGGGTACAAACGAACACAGCGCTGCTGAGTTTCTATGAAGAGACGGTGGCTTTAATTCCACGCTGCTCGCAAACGTTCGCATACATACCAACGACTATGAACACATATGTAATAAAAGCGTTGCGGTTAAAATGGTTCTGAGTAAAAGCGAGACGCTGTGGGCGTGGCAGCAGAAAGGCGGGCATTTTTCTCATAGACTCCGCCCAGCGGAAAATTTCAGGAGCCGCCCTAGCGCCATTTGTGCGGGCGAACCGATGAAAAAGTTAAACGTTTTCACGCGGACATTCAACGTACACGGCATTTGGCTGCACCGGAACTGATTACAGAGAGCACCGAAGCTAAATCTCCAATGTCATCGGATGACTAACATTAGTCCTCGCTGACGTGATCTGAATGCCGAATGAGTGATCGTAGTAGCTGTTATTATTTTTTAAACACACGGACAGCTTATTATGACGCGATTATATCAAATAGCTTACAGCGAATCTCTTTGTCTAATCGCCTTTTGTTGTGCTAGACATCGACAATGTTTCAGTTCCACGCTGTATAACTCGATTACTCTAATAATATATCACTGCGATCTCATGTGATGTGTACTCCAGATGTGTGCCCTCAGATGTGTTTTTGTATGTGCGTATGTGGTATAATATTTTGAGCTTAATATTTCGTAATAATCTGCTACAAACATCAATAAGACTTGCTCTCTTGTCTGCATTGTTTCAAATTGGTAAGGCCAAGGACTAAGGACCATGACTCAAGTTAAACTACTATTTGGAATGATTCGAGTATTTATAATTATTGGATGAAGCAAACAGATGACAAACAGGAAAAGTTGACGTAGACCTGAATTCTAATGTTCTGTATTCAATTAAAAGTATATATAAATGTAACAATGATTAACTTATAATATTCATAACCCAATTAAACAGTAGTGATATTGCCTACGGTTTTTGTCTACAAGAAATATTTGTCATTAGTTTTGGTCCTTAAGTGTAATAAGTGACCTTTGCTGAGGACTGAGGAATTGTTGATGACATATTTAACGCTCTAATCCTGTCAACAGACATTGCACACCATGTTTTGGGACCTGATACCGCACTACACATAGTTTTAGGTCATCGTAAGAAAGTTCTCTATTTATAAATATGTTCGAATGTATGTGGTCTCTGCCGAATGGGTATCATTGGGAAACACTGTTACTGATTTGCTTTTTTAAGAAAACTTGAGTGTTTTACTTGGAGGATTACACTTGTTAAATAAATGATCAGTTCACACGCTACAAACTTCAGTATAAGAATAAATAAGTAAAACAACACGTTTAATGGATTTTATCTCTTTTTGTGTAAGTTTTTGGCATGGACTTTTGAAACACTTTACTGAATCCACGAGATTTTATTGAACATACTATGTATTAGGTCTTATTCTGAAGAATCATAACGCTCGTATAGTATATAGCAAACAATTTCAACACATCTGGTGGTACCATTAATAATATTAAGGTGACCTCTAATGACAGCTTTTTCCAACTTATAAATAAATAGCGCAATCAGGAACCGATTACTTCATACAATATATTAAATTAAGATGTTACAATATATATAAAAAACAGGCATACCAATACGTTTAAATTACTTCCCAACAACAAAAAAAAGAAATTTAATTTTAATCGTGGTTTCATTTTTTAATTGTTTTAGAAAAATCATATGTTCATTCATAGTATAAATAATTTCCGTTACAAAAATCTAAATGATCATGATCATCTGCTATGCTGAGGGTCCATTTTCCGACTTGATACCTGTTTCTATGAAATTTTAATCGCTTTTGAAACAAATCTATAGGTGTGTAGCATTTATTATCCATCCTAACGTGACTGTGTTAATCCAGGCTACTGTCATTTTTGAAAATCAAGGAATTTAAAGTTTTGGTAGAAATTAATAATTAGTAGAAATTTTAATCTTAAGTGCAGAGATTAGCACTGTTATAATTTAAATTTCTAATCAAGAAATTTAATTCAGTATCCCTAACTGAGTGTTGAACAAAAAGACTGAACTAAACACACTGCGATTCATCTAGAAGTGGTTGTGTGCTTGAGCTTGAATTTGGCTGATAATTGTTTCAGATTTCGGTGTTTGTTAGTGTAAAACGTTGTCCTACAGTATAGGGAAATTTTCGTATAAAATAACAAATAAATAAAAGAAATAATTTTGATGGTGATTGAAACAATATGAGAACTGTGATGAAAGAAATATTATAAGAATTGATTTTATTGGCGATTTAGTCCACACCAATTATTACACAAGAAATCAAGTTGCCGGCTTCGCACTTCGTTATCGCATCTATTGTCAACGGAGCCGGTGCTTTTTTCGTTTATGTATAAGTAATGTATGACCATTCAAAAAGTCAGCAGTCCTGCGCTTTCGGGTTTTGTACTATTTAATGCCTCTAGAATTTGTTATTGAAATTATTTTCATTGAATTAGATAGCCGATTAGATAATACGTTTAACAATTTTGTTACTATTAATTATAATATTTGTATTATTAATTTATACAACAAAAGCGTGGTATTATTATAGCAACATACCTCTCCACGTGTTTAAAATAATTCCAATAAACTATTGTAAAACTTGTAAACATATTACTTGCCAATCGAGCAGACGGTTCACCTGGTGTTAAGTGAATACCGCTGCCCATGGATATCTGCTACACCCGAGGGTGGCAGATGCGTTAACTATTTTGAAAATTGGGCTCCGGCCACCTCACTCACCAGAACACGTCCAATACTTTTTTTTTGTATTATTGAAAAGGATGGCATACGATGTTTTACACTAGATGATAATTGAGGCTGTTGATGCCGATGTCAAGCATTTAAGATAGAGGAGCGCCGGGTCTCCTCGCTATTTGCGGAAGCATGAACACTATTACATGTGCAACTGTGCGGGAAGGTGGTTCAGCATCGCTCTTCATGGCGGTTTGTGGGGGATGTCTATGTTCAGCAGTGGACTAACACAGGCTGAAATGATGATGTTGAAATACTATAACATATTACATGATACCGTTCAGGCTCGTCTGAGCAGACCGTGTCACTTTGTGAAGATATAAATACTTTACACTATTGACTGTAAGAAGTGTGTCCAAAAAGTCCGTCATTTACATTAGAAAGCTGAAAGCTTCATGTACCATCGGTATTTTTCATCGAAGTTCAAAGCATCCATTAAAAGCATCCATCTGGTATGAGTACTAGTAGCCCCAATGAAACAAACTAGCGACGAGTAACTGTACTCATTAAAACGGGTAAACAAGTTATATTTTAGATAACTAATGCTATATAGAAAAAAAAAAAAAACAAAACTGTAAGGAAGTATAAGCTATTCATACGGGTAACACATTACATATTTCATGCAATAACATACAGCTACATGAACAATACAAACAAAACAATAAAATGTCTCAATCATCACCTAAACAAACCACGATATTGCCGCCCCCTGAACTAGTATTAACTCGCGAAAGGGATTTTTCTGTCAACGACTGATATGTAAATTCCACCCGTCTCAAATGTTTGGAAAATGCTACATGCGATCGTTTTTATTTATTTTCTCTGGTGAACCATAAAATATGGCGGCACGGATATGCGGGGGCTTTGCTACGCACTGTATAGTTTGACAAGATGACAGTTATAAGAGAAGGCATCGTGTAGGAGGGTTATGAAGGTATAATAAGCGCTATTCGACGATCTCATGCGACTTTTTATACCGAACGGCCGGGAACAATTTACAGGCCGGGAGCGATATTGCTGAGACGTCATAAATGTTATTACAAGAATATATATATGCTTGAGTCCAATAAAATTACCTTTGGTACGTACCTAGTGTAAATGTAACTGTTATAGAACAAGTGTATTCAAGAATAAATTCGCGATATTCAGCTGTATATGAACGCGACATAGTATAGGAACAATAATAAAGAAAATAATAATTGAATAAACACTGTAATTGTATTGGTTAAGAAGGGATGCAATATCTAATATACGACAAGTTCTTTGTATTACATCAAATGCAATAACCAAGAAAGAATGCACACACGCCACGGAACTGGAATGGCTTTCTTTGTTCACTCGTGCGTGTAATCTCACATGCAAACTAAAACGAAATTCGCGTATCGCTTCCTCGTCTATCTCTTAGTAACATATTCGTAAAACATAGTTTGTTTATTGCATCTCCATGCCTTCTCATCCCTGAAATTTGAATATAATAAAATCAAATAACTTTATGCGATTAAAAATTAAAAAAATAAGCTACGTCTTGTGAGATTTTATTGTTGTAATTTATTTAGCAACAAGAAAATATTTTACTAAAACGATCCTTGTTTATTTTTCGTAAAATAAATAAACTGCAAACCTATTCCGAAATTTGAAACCAAAAATTTCACGCGTACACCGCGCGATTTCGTATCAACATCATCTGATAACAAAACGTCCGCTGTGACATATGCTAAACCCACGGCACACAGAAAATAATGATTTCTATTTGAGACGCATAGGGTTCGCTTTCGAGAGCCACGCAAAATATTCACGCACGTATGAATTGCGCATTTAGTGGCGAGGGTGCGAAAACTTGTTGTTATCTCGAACGAGGCCAATTTCGGCAAATGGATACTAAGTCCTAACTCTCCGCTATCTCTTTTCCACGGCGCAAGGTTGGCATTCTTTTAAAATATCGACACGCGACGTATTTGGCCCACGTGTGAACATCTGACACGCAATTTGGGAAGGATTTGCTTTACTGCCGCTAGGTTAAGTCGAACGCATGACGCGGGATTTTGTGGAACCTTAAAACATTATATTCATCCAACTTAACGGCCTGCTTAGTCAAGTGTAATGGTTCTCTTGTAAAAACCTTAGCGATCATAAAAAGTGAAGCTACGTAATTTGAAAAGTGAACGTTATGAAGTGTTCTATCTAAATACACTTTTAAAAGTGTTTAAACATTTAAAGTTTCACTAATAAATATATATAGCTATAATGTTGTATATTTTATCAAAAGCACATCCGATAAACTTAAGTCAGATAATTTGTATCATTATTAATACCATATGCTATGCCGTAGACTTGGGTTATTCAGGCATTAGTTTTTACTGTTAATTTGCCTGTTACAGAATTTATGAACTGATAAACACCATCAAAAGTAAGGGTGCGAAAGACCGGTATTGTAATTAAATTCTTCGAGACTTCGCAAATGCGGCGAGCTGATCGAACGCGAGGCCGCGACGGGTGAGCATGGCCGCGCGTGGGGTCCCACTTCGCGCCTCGGTGCCCCCTCTTTGAGTGCAAACCATGCGAGAAGTCATCCATTTATCGTCAGCGCGATCTATTGCCGGCATTTTTCCCGTTTTTCCCCGCCTTTTCGGCCGGACGGCCCTGCTCCGTACGCCACGTAATTGAATCAGCTGGCCCCGGCTCGCTCCTTTCGGGGATTGTTGCGAATTAATCGCGATGTAAGTATACATATCCGTACCGGTTAATCGAGTGTGACGTGTATGTGACCTATACGATTCTTTCATCGCCCGTCGCTAAAATGAATTCCGCTAAGAGTTACGACCATTTCAGTAACTGTCACGCCAATTTAACGTAACATTCAGACAGAAAGACTGTATATAAATTATAGCCTATTTCTTATTCTGATATATAATCTAATATAAATCTAATAAATATAAATATAATAAAATAAATAATTATTGCAAAGTTTCATTAAAATCCATTAGTATTTATTATCCAGTAGTATTGCGTGAAAGAGTAACAAACATCCATCCAAACTTTCCCCTTTATAATATTAGTAAGGAAGTAAGGATGTCATGTAGTCTATTGTAAAATATTAACGGGATGTTCATACATATTTTTGGCTATTAAGAAATAATATTGAAGGTATCTTAGAGAAAAATTATACAAAAATTGTGTAATTTGCCAACGTACATAATTAACTATAATTTTTCTCCTTTATTAAGATTTAGTTACACTTAACCAGGCATTACATACAAATTATCCCCCATGTGCATCACAGAATGTACAGTGAAACACTGTAGTGTCATAGTTATACGATTACTCGTCGAACTTTAAACCTCAGCTTTTGCAAGAGCGGCCCTCTCAACCCGAGGAGAAGAGACGGTTAAAGCCGTAGAGAATAAAATAAACACCGCAGCGAAACGAAGCCCCGCCTGTAATTACCAACGTTCAAGTACAATCATACAAAAAGGACAGTCTCATCGGGTAAACGAAAAAGGTTTTGAAACGCTCGTTTCACGCCAACTGTAATTCTATTTGAAGTGAGAGTCAAAGCGCTCTCCGCTCCCTCACAGACCCTATTCCGGCCAAAGAATATTATTGTATTCCCTCCTCCTCTACCTACGCGGATTGGCCCTCAGTGAGGATGCTCTTGACTTTTCTCAAGTGGAGTCAATGCATTTTTTATATTTTGCTATATAATTCAGGAAGACTTGAAATTTCGCGAATAGCAATAGCAATTTTGTATCACTCCTACAAATAAAAGGTAAAACTCGTTTCCGCATAGTCATCTATTAATTTTTTATTTATTTTTTATGCGAAAAGTTGCCAATCGAGCAGACGGATCACCTTATGTTAAGTGAATACCGCCGCCCATGGACATCTGCTACACCCGAGGGTTACAGATGCGTCGTCAACCTTAATGAAATTGCTTTTTTTTCGTAATAATTATCATATAACACCGTATATTTTGCGTTGTACTTACTTACATTCTTCTGTTCTGTTTAAAATTTTATAACATGTCTAGTGAAATACAAATATAGACTGCATTACGCTAGTTTGGATAGTATATTATAATTTGTATCGTATGCTTTCGTGCCTAATATATAAATATATATATCCTATAACGTGTCATCAGATTTACAATTCGTTAACGTTTCGCAGGAGGCTTTTATACTTGTAATTAATATTTATTTGTAGTTTATTACTTATTTTCAGTGCTACTCTGAGACGAAGGTTGATCCCCACAGCGCCTTAATGTTTGTTCATTTGTTTCAGGTTTACACTCAAATTATTTTTATTAAATTAAAGCCTTATTAACGGATGTCGGCGTTACGAAAAAAACATCGTTGGCCACGCAATCATCCGTTAGTGTCAGACCGTTGTCAGCGTCGCAATGGAAACAATCTGAATGTTCCCGAATAAATTCACGCGATTTGTACAACAATGCGGTGGGAGCGTCGGATGCAGTTTGCGGTGGATAGTCGCAGAGCGGTGGCCTGCGCGTTTTGCTGCGCTTTTTGCAGCCGTCGGCACTCACATCGCGGAGGGTAGCCTGACCGCGACGGGTAGGGAGGTGACGCGCGCCTGTCACGATGCCGGATTAATCTGGACGTAAGCTCATTTAGTTTTGACTGCAACATAAAGTAAAATCTAACTGAATTTCCACCATAAATAACGTGAGATGATTCTTGCCAAGGACACACTCGTTGTGAATGGATCAAGATCGTATACATGTTTTATTGAAGCTTGCAATAGCAATAGCAATAGCACAATATAACTGTTTTGCCTGTAATTTTATGACGCTTTAGGCAAATGCAAGGGCGGCGTGAAACGAATTGATTTGCATGGGACATTTATTCATAGTTTGGCTAATAATTCAGGGAAATCAATTTTATTATTAAAAAAATTTGGTATAGACACGTAGTCAGCTATCTCACGGCGAATTTAGTTTTGACTAAAGTAAAACATAACAGCAAACTGAAAATCCATCGTAAGTAACATAGGAAAAATTAACGAATGAAACGATAATTTTATGCTTTTAGAGCTTTTGTGTCAGTAGAAGATAACATTATTGTGGCGTATAGTTGATCTTTCAGTTTTTAAGTCAATCAACAGAGACGTTCCGTAAGTTGATGAGGGCGAAAAGTAACAGGTCCATGAAATGAATCTACAATTGCGTGCAACCGGGCGTTTAAATGTTAGTTATCGATATTTATCGTCATCACGGCGAACCTAGTTCTGGCCGTGACGACGTGTTTTGTGCGGGTGCCACATGACGGCGTAATTAGTGCGTGACCGCCGTCCGGCGTCACGTCGACACGACGCCCGCCTATTTACAACTCTGACGCTGTAATTTTAACCGTATTTGCTACGTAAATTACACGTATCCGGGACGCCCGGAAACAAATTAAACACGTCCCAGCCAAACCACCGTCTGCGCTATTCAATGAGCAACAGGGAAACGGTTCCGACATAAATACTGTGCGAACGTACAAACGAAACCGAGTGTGCCGAGCAATCAATCCGCGGTAAATTATATAAAAAATACATTTCGCGCTTCAGCTGACTGCAAGATGGCTTCTTTATTAGTTTTCCCGAAGGCACCACCGCCCGGGTCGGTGGGGACGTGTGAAAAAATCTTGGCGGGATTATGTTCCCGTTTATCGGGCTCCGAAGCGGACTTATTGCCGTAATACAATCTCTGTTATGTCGCACTGGGATTATCCGTAACGCCGTGTTTTACAGGGAAATGTTTTCGCCGGTCGACGGGCGTGTGTGTTAATACGTCGTTTGAACTTCAGCGTAGCGAATTTGCGTTTGAAACGAAATGGGGAGGGGGGGTGTAACAATACGCAGTGAGATGAAGAGAAGGCAACGTAGCAATGCATATGTGTTCGCTGTTTGAAAACGATGAAGTGAAATTTAACCGTGAAAAAATATACCGAGCGTCCGCGGGTAAGCGTCTGTTCGGATTTCGCGCTGCAAATCCACGCAAATTGAAAACGCCATTATCAAGTCTAAGCAATTTGTACGCAGCTGGTGCGGGCTGTGGGGCTACGAGCTACGAGTACGGCCGCTACGATTGCTATACGACACGGCATCTACAAAATTTGTTCGTTATGACCGCTTCTGTTTTTAACGCTGTTTTAAATACCATCTAAACGCATTGTGCTTGCTAAGTGATAGACACTTTAAGTATTTATAAAAAAAATTAAATAAGATCACAAGACATCGAATCTAAAATTATAAGGCCTGTTAATTTTGTACTGATCTATAACCTTTTTTTTATGAACACTTACTATGGCTGTAGTAATCGAAATGTCGTGAAAGTTGAACGTTGTGCAAAGTTTTCCCTTTACTACAATATCAGTGCACACATTCCGCAGTCGTTAGGGTGCGAATCTCGTAAATAAGTGAGATGTTGACGAGCGATTCGCGGAAAGAATTGAAAATGCTACCCGAGGCGATCTTCCTATGAGAATAAAATAAAATCTTATTTTTTCACTTGGAAGGGCCACCATTGGTGATAACATTACAGTTTCACGTTGTAATCTATAAAAATGTTAAGCAACTGCAATCTCTTCATGAAATTTGAAGAAATTAATAGCAATCGTTATATCATCCTTCCAGCATAGACTTTAAGGAAACTCGTCATTAATATTTAAAATTTTTCAGAATGCACGTGTTCACATAATCTATATTTAAGCAGTGTAAGAAATTTTTAAAAAGGAACTCCCATTTATGTTAAAACATAAAACATGAATAAAGCATTTCTTTGATGCAATTTTGATTGATTTTAGTATTTGCATCTAATATATAAATATTCTTATATGTATATAAGAAACTCATTTTAATATACCTGATTTAAATGTAAGAAATTAAAAATACTGAAAAATCCTAAACCCTAATGATTTTGTCGAAAGTACTCCCCGCAAATCAAGCATCCATGGACACCCCTTTGTAATTAATCAGACACACCCTAAATGGCATTAAAATAAGAGCAACAGACCTGCTAATTAAAGCAGAACTGACAGTAACGCCATGTTGACGCTTCGTACATTAGAATGAGCAAAAACAGATAAAGAAATGATGTTAAAACGTGGATAATAATTCAATGAGTTTATGTGAAAACTATTTTTCGTATCTCTCGTCTCCTTTAATTACTATTATTTACTATTTGAGGCGATGAAAGCTAATACATTATAAATAATTATATTCTTATCATTATTTTAGTAATGATTACTAATAAAATTTAGTGAACGATGTGAGAATTCACAATATAACGAATGCAAACGTTTCAGCTAAAATACGTAATGTAGAGAAACCTAAAAAAGTTCACTTAAATAGCACTTTTCACTTAAATTTTGGAAAAATCATTAGCGGAGACTCCAATTTTAAATTTGTATTGATAAAGGTAAACAACTTTTTTAATAGATTAAATAGTTATCACCAAAAACTTTACAATTAAGGTGTCATATGTAGCTCGAGCGAAGATAAATGACTCAGTTTATTTCTTAATAAAGGTTCTATATCATTCTTAACACTATACTTATAATCTACTTATTATTTTATATTGACATCAGTTCGGTAAGGTTATATGTACATAGATGTACATTTATTGTGCTGTCAGTTTGAAAAGTTGCGAGTCAAGTCATCGATCGTCATAACGGTTGCGTGCCGCGGTTAATATCCGGCTAACATCTGTAAAACGACCAGATTGACTTAATGGTGTTTGCAAAGTTTCGCGGGAGAGAGAATTTTAGTTCGACGCGAGAGCCACTAACGCTGGCAGGGGCGGGGCGGGCAGATTAGTAACAGCTGTCAGGCTCGCGAATATGTTATTTATTGGGAACGTGAAAGTAGGAAACTCTGATGAAACGCAACGAAAAGCGAGCACGATGACATTAGTACCACTGTGTCTGTGCAAGTGTACTTGGCTATTGTACTTCCCAATGCTATTGGTCATATCTTCTATAACAGAAATACGTACTCGAAACAAAGTGTACCCAGTTTTTACAGTGCTTATATTGAGACATAAATCAAAATCTATTTGTTTTTAAAGCTTTTTAAATTTATTAAAACTGTATCTTCTATAGTCGAAGCCAACGTATAAAAATTATAATTAGATTAATTTGAGGAAATTTAGATGTGGATAAACAAGAGCGATTCCGTTTGACAGCGTCAGGGGAAGGTATGTGCAAGTACCTATATTTGAATCAAATAAATAAATTGACACAGGAAGATAATGAAACAAAAACATTGGAAAACAAAGAAAAACAAAACAAAGACAGTGGCATCTCAAGAACCTGCTTTTTCGAATGACTAAATTTAAATTTAATTAAACACACAGCATTATTAAAGAAGAAAAGCCTTCTCCAGCCTCTTGGTATGCGTAGCGCTACGGTGCTACGGTGCTACGGCACTACGGACGTCAGCGAGTAGCGCGACCGCACCTGTCAGAATATTAGATCGCCGGGATTAATCAGTCGCCGCAGCTCGGGTCCCGCAATCCGCGCGCGCGCGCCCCCTACGAACAATCAAAAAGCCCATTCTGGTGCAAAGTCGCGGTTTACCGTCGTTTTCATCCCCGATCTCCGGTCGGAGACTACATCCGGTGCGCCACACTGCGAAAGCGCCCCGCAGCCTCTGTGACAACCGCACGCACGTTACTCGCAATTTGACTCGTAAATTGGAACAATACACGTACATGACGTGTACACCCGAAACTGACTTGTATTTTGCATGTTCTAAACACAATGATTCTGAAGTCACACATAACATAATCAAATATTTTTTGTGTGATTGGAAATGATACAAATAATTTATATGAAACGTTAATATTTACTTTACAACATCTTTAAATTTTAGTAAAGTATTTTTATTTCGAATATTTTTATTACGACGTGCTCCGCGGTGAGGAAACATGCATATTTTCGAAATAATAACAAAAAAATATTTGTCGAAGATATGTGAAGTCCGCCAATCCGCAGTGGGGCCGCGTGGTGGACTATGCCCTGTACAGAGGAGGCCTTTGCCCAGCAGTGGGACTTATATAGGCTGTTACTTTTTATATATTTTTATTTAAGAACAAACTACTTCTCATAGCAAAATCTGTAACAAAATTTATAAAAGTTTCTTTGAAAACTTTTTCAACCACCACATTACCTCAAACCTGGCCATTATGAACGCACACAATGAAAATAAATGTATGAACGATACGTTTATTACATTTCCATGCCTTTCCACATTCCTCGACAAAGGACGAAGGAATTCTGCAAACGGACTTATGAAAGGCGTAACGCGTAATGCAAGACCTCTGTGTTATTTTGTGGGGTCGAAACTTATTCATCCCGCAAATCCGCTCATGTATGAACCAAATCCTGCCCGGTCACCGCTGATTGCATTGTCATGTCCAGCGGATGTTACCTTGCCATGTAATATTGAGCTCTTTGCTTTTAAGTTAGGCGCTGTTTTAAATTGCCGCTCGCTTTTACCGCCCAAAGCCCATGTCGTATCGGTTTGTAAAACATGAGAGTCAACGTGATTGGAATGTTTTATTTGACCCTTAGAACATATGAGACCGATATGATGTATGTTTTTCGTTTGTACGTCAATTTGTTGACGCATTTGCTTAGTGGCTGCAATTAAAATGCGGTAAATATGATCGTGTTACGCTATGAAATTATGTTTCAAATTAAAAATATACCGGTGAAATTGCATTTAAGCGTATGTAGTTTGCGGCGACTACTCGAAGTATATAAAGTGAGCAAGTAGACACGTTTCCTGGGAGAAAGTAATATTTTTCGCGGATCACGTTTGTGGGCCAGCACGCGGCGTCAAACTTTGATAATAATGAAACTGTTCGTCATTCGCTGCGCCCCCGCGACATGTGTTACCTGCTCGCAACTGAATAAAAATCATATACATCAATCGATACTCTGCCACCTTGACAGTATTGTGGTGGCATTATCAACTTACATGTAACATACTTCTTTTTATTATTATTACAACTTAATGCAACATGAAAGTTTTTTCGATTTTATTAAAATACATTTCTTTAAGTTAGACAACAAGATGATTGTTTGTAAAAAAACTTCAATACAGAAATAAGGTGGTTTATAAGCCGCCATTTATATCGCGAGTTAATAAAGTAAAGAGAGTAAGTAATTCATATCTGGTCTTCTAAGTCATTAGTTTGCCATTAACGCATTTCTCACACATATATTTCGGCATATATATCGGCGAAACTATCGCCCTGTATCCTGGTTGGGGATGCTAAGGGGACAGCGCAAAATATTGCTGGAGCTGAGTTTTAAGTGGTGTGGACGTGTTAACCCCATTATCGGGAGGTTGGCTTAACCGGCTGCTAAGCCATGCCGACAGGGGCCCGATTTATGCCGACACGAACGTAATTAGCCGATTTCGATCCGTTCACTTATTGGGACGTAGGATACCGCTTAAACCTCGCTTATACGTTTACGTAACAAATAATCATTAATTAACGGTTGTAATTCCTTATATTGCCAATTGGTCGGCCGATGCGTTAGTTGTCTTAGTTTTAATATAAGCTTAACACTCTACTAAGTGTTGTATTTATTACAGAGAAAATACAATATTATTTTCTAATATGATCCTCGATAATATAAAAATCTGAGAGGCATACCCTGTGACAAATTAAACTTCACCTATGTACTCGTAAGTTGACATCATCAAGCTGTCTACAGGTTCCGTGTTGGTTCTCTGAAACGTAATTCACAAGATACTCATTGAGGCGAGAATGGTAAGGGCGAATTGCAGGCGTACGTTCATGCCGTCACACGTCCGAATGATCACTTGGGGAGATCGTACAATGTGTATCGAACAACACAGGTAACTATCCATCAGGAAGGGCAAAGCATACTTGGGCGCGTCATCTTGTATCGGTCGTGAGGAATCTGTGCATGTCGAATTGCTACGCGTATATTCGAAGCCCGCAAACCACGAGTAAATCCAAGCGGCTACACGCCAAAGTCGTGCTAATCCCCTGATCCGCGGGAGCCATGCATTTCGCGCCTCTTTATTACATTAATTTAAATGTTTGCTCGGAGGATTCCCGCCGATCCTCTCCCCCGCTCGCGCCGTAAATAAATACCAATGTGCTTACGTTGGGAAAGTCGTACCATAAATATTGCTTACAGATAGATAATTATGTCTATGCTCTAATTGATATTTTTTTCACAAAGACACTTCATTGCAGTAATACGTAACATTTTTAATAATTGACCATTCTTAACGTTTAAAACTGCACGTAAAACAAACAAACTTTAAAACATAATTATTTTAAGGTTTCTGTTGTTTTCTTTTTCATTGTTCTGTGAATTACTTTTTTTATCCAATTGCAAATCATTCTCAAAATTGAAACGCCCCACGTACCATTTACTTTTAATGTAAGCTTTTTAAATACGAAACAAACCAAATTCCGCCTAACGATCATTCTAGAAAAGTGCGTATTAAATAATTAATGTAAAAACACTTGTTATGGCAAAGAATAAAAACTTATCGCAATGCTTTTTAACAGTTTGCAGAGGGTACAAGAATACGTAATTGAAGTTAAGCAAATATGTAATTATGTCAACGGCGTATCGAAGCGTAAGTGCCGTCAATAGTTCACGTGGCAGAGTTGTAAGCCTGACTCATTACCTCAACCGGCTTCGGGGAGATTACTCACGTCGGCGCACCTGGATTCAGGACAACAAACGGCCGTAATTAGTTAAGCTGAGCCGTGCGAATGCAAACGAAAATATTTACTACAGTCAGACGATAAGTTATTGCCACGTAATCCGATAAACGGAAATCGCTCGCACGGAAATTGCGTTATCGTCGCTCTAAAGCGTTCACAAGTCGCCGCTTTACGAGGGCAGGCGACGGGGGCATGCAAACATAAAAATTCTCTATCGGGACTAATAGGAGCGAAACAAATAAAAGGATACGTAAATAGAAGCGTCGGATAAATTCCAGTGGGGCTCGAGTGCGCGTAAATCCGCGCGATTTGTATCTGTGACAGGGGTGTGCGGGCCCCCCCTGAATGGCCTCCCCGCCGCCCACACTTTGACAATTAATTTGATAGAAAATATCCAGTAGCCCAAAGCGGCATACGTTTGCCGATCATAGTAAGCCGTTTAGATTTCAACATGTATGGGTTCATCACGACAGTACGCGGAAAATCCGGGTATGAAAAATAAAATGTTAAAATATAATTATATGAACTCGTTGAAAATTATATCGATTCAGGTATACAAAATTTCAAATATAAATTGAATAGAACACGGTGTTGCCTGTCTTTTATACACACATTAAGTAAAAGTGATTAGGCCCAATATAACAAGCATTTTATATATAATATCTGATTAAAAACTTAAAGCGAGGCCCGCTCTCTCAAACGAACCGCAGGTCACGTCTATGCAAATGATATTAAATTAGAAACGCTTAATAACAACTGTGGCCGCGCTACTCCTGTAAAGAGGTGCAATTACACCAATCAAATTGAAATTTTAGATCACAAATTGCGCCCGACATGTTTTACGACCCCCGGGCTTTAATCCGCGCCGATGGAGTTGTATTTGCGTGTTAGAACGGTATTTGCGCTCTAGCCGAGGGACTTAGAAACCGATGTACTAATATACGCCTACTATAACGTAACATACTTAAAATGTTTCGTTTAATACATTCTTACGAGATGGTATAGTATAAGTGTATAAATTAATATATTTGAAACGCATTGCAACAAGCTAATTCCCCCGACAGACGCGTGGTAGGTGGGATCGTTGTAACGTGTAAATCATCTGTACCCATTGTTCCAGTCAGGGGGCATCAATAGTGCGGTTCGAGGCGCTTAGCCGACCCGCAGGACGCACCTGTGACCGCATCTCGTCGGATTTGCCCCGAACTTAACACCCCCGCCCCCATGCGAAAGCTTTGCTGAGCCGGAAAGCTTCAGATCGTGTTGTCGATTATGGATGATTGTTTTTTTCTTCTTCTAAGCTCGACCAATTTTTCTAGCGTAACAAAGTAACTTCTAGCCGTGCACGTGCGCGTTTCGCGTGAACGTTTCTATAGAAAGCTGTCGTTGATAATACTAGTAGTAGAAATGGAGTATTTATGAAAAATTACTTCGATGTAAGAAATTTCGGAAATTAAAAAGTTTTGTCAAAGTAAAAAACAAAGAGGCGGTTGAGATGGGAGAGGCGGTAACAGCGATTGTGTGCACCGCAAGCAATTTAAAAGCCAAATAAGCGTCCTAACTTCGCATTTTTCTTAAAGGAGTCGGCTTCTTAAACTACGTTAAAATGATTTAACTCCCCTTAGATAACGGCGTCTACAGTTATTGAGCTCGCTGGCCCGGGGCTGCCCGGCTAATAAACGCTTATCAACGCCCTTATTATCACACCCTTAACATCGCTTTAATGTCTTGCTCTTGAACAAAACATATTTAATCGCATTTTTCCCCGGCACGGGCGGGCGGGAACTTTTGAAATTTCATAAAAACTTGCCAACGCCGACGGCTCGACAATCTCGGGCGGGAATATTGCGTCGTCTTCAAAACGCCCTGTGAAAAATTGACGCTTCAACTTGTAAACACCGAGTAACTGCAATGTTTAAGTTATTATAACTCTTTACATATCAATGTGATATGTTTTAATTTATTTATTTATTTAAACTTTTACACAAAA